CATACTATCCCAAAATGGTTGTGTCTGGGGTCTGTTCTAGCAATTCATCATAAAACCTGCCTCGACATCTTGAGTTTGTGCCAGTTGAGGAGGTAGCAACACATTACAAGAACTGTCATTCAGGTCAACAAACCAATTTTGGACCAAGCCTTTTAAAACAGTTGATAAATCAGTGGAAAGTCCTTCTCAGCAGGGAGACGACTGGGAAGAGAGAGAGACAAGATCGACTGGCCATTATCCAGTACAGCTGTACTTCACATACAATAGGCTTCTCTATGTATAGACTAAATGGTTTCAAGAAACGGAATGGTTACATCTTTATTCTCTAAGACCACAAATACATCGTCTTTACTACGCTGAGCCATTACGTGTTTTGTTTGCAGCTTGACTTTAACCTTGACATTCCTACTTAAAGATGTGTGAGTGAGTGAGTGAGTGAGTGAGTGATTGAGTGAGTGACAACATCCCAGCACTATCAGGGCGGGGGATCAGAAATTGGCTTTAAAAATTGAAGCATCAGTTACAAAAATGATGTCCGATGCAATTCCCTATTTTGACTTCCTGTATTGTTTTTCATGTGAACAGTTGACTTGCCTTTGCGTGTGTTTGTAACAGGTGGATACGGGCTGGATACGCTAACCTTTTCGCGAACACCCGGTGTCATCACTATTTCATAGTGATTCATAAACACATGCTTATGATATAGTCGGAATCGTACTATCGGCTTGCAGAGATTTCTCTTCGATATGATTAAGGTTTTGTTGCTTTATTTACACATTGTTTCCATGTGGGGATCAAACCTGGACCTTCCGCGTGCGCCAACAAACGTTTTATCCACTAGGCTATCACACTGCCCCCGACGACAACACCGTGTTCACTTGTATAAAGCATAATAACGAGCTGGTTACAGCTCATAATTTGATATACATTTACATTAAATTCATCAATAGCATAGCTTTGTATTAATGAACACTTATTGTTTATTCAATAGCGTTGTGCGGATTATATACACGACACATGAGTAATATACATACATGCATAATCTTGCAGCGGTTATAACGCTCTTGAAATGACATCATTTTACAATCGGTGTGTGGTTTGAATTCTAATCAAATGGAATTTGCACTCAAATGACATCGTTAATTTTCAGTGGTCGCGTGGTAACATGATGAATAAGCCTTGTGACATGCACACGTTGACAAATAAACTGCACTGGCATACATATCGCTTTGTAAGTTATTTTTCCAATATTCTAAGTTTGTCGTCGTGACGGGGTATCTAATAATTACAATTTTATATTAATATTGATTTTGACACATGCAGAACTGTGTTATTAGTTTGGACAATGGTACAGACGGATATGTTCTCATCTATTAACGGCGGTGATCGACTTTGAAAGCATATGCCTTAGGTAATCAGAAAATATGCATTTTGTTAATTTGAAGGGGAAAATAGTCCTATCATAAAATATATTGTTTTACATGCACGAACATGGAGTACAATATTACCTCCAATCTCTACCAAACCATCGTCATTACAAAATTTCATATTCGTTCATGAAAGAAGATCTTTCATAAGCAAATGTATACTTGTATGTTGTATATTTCATAACTGTATATTGTATATTTCATAAGTGTATAATTGTATGTTGCAATTTCATTTAATATCGTATTAAATTTCTACAAGTATTAACGCTTTCAATTTGCTTTTTAAAACATTCAAATTTAATATATCTATTTATACGATATTAATTACCACCAAGTAACACAAGTGCATAATAATTCCCATCAATACATTTAATTCGCAAAAGCGAATTATTTTAATGAGGACGTACTGTGTCATCACCTTATCTATTCTCTCAACATACAACACCAGAAGACCGTTCAATGTGTTTCTATGTAAGCCGCGTCAGTGTTTGTAAAATATCGAACAGGGTAATCATTATCTAAAGGATGGAGTTGATTACCTAAAGTGTAAACCATACATGCAACACAAAAGTCATTAAGAACCAATCGCCTCATGTCCAAATACCATTCGAGTTAGTTTCAACGTTAACTATGGTAGGATATTTTTCACATTAAAGAGGAGGCTTGACGTTTTGAGGCCAACTGCGTCAAAATTAAGACCACGAACCATTTCCCCGTACATTCAAATACTCGCTCGAAGAAATCTCGGCAAGCGCTTAAACTGGTGACGAGAAAATCAGATAATCAGCGAATTAATATCGATTATCCACAAAAGTGATCGATGTGGTTTTTGGTTAGATCACGTTACAGCATTCCTGCACATGGTTCTCCAGAGCAAGAGGAGAATAATTCAAGGTAATTCCAAAGTGAGGTATAAAATGTTCACATTCCTACATTTCGTTTGGAAAAGATTTAGGCAATTGAACATGTTTCGACATTTCACATGGATCGAGATCTCCTAGTTAAATCTATTTGATATAAAATGCATATCTTGATTAGTCATTTGAATTATTTAATTATCTGCTATTAGCTGTATCATATATGGATGAAGGAACGGCGGTCGTTTATGGGGATAGTGTATTCGATTAAAGTAATTCAGCCAATTCAACGCATCGGACGTGAGAAGAAACTGAATATTTAATTTAAATAATGTTTTCTTAAACGATGTGTATTATCGTTCGTTTACACGAAAAATTATGTTTGGTTCACTAATCAATATAATCGATACGCAGAATTCAGTTTACAGAGCGATTGTTATGAAATGAATCAACGATAGTAGAATCACAAATGGTGACATAAATTTGAGCATTCATAATTCAGCTTATATATCGCTTTATATGTGCTAAAATTAACATAAACTGATTTCATAATTTGAAAATTAAGAAAATCAAGCACGAAGTTCTCTTTTATAATAAATATTCGTAAATATAAATTGAACAGTACAATGTTCCCAATTTTCCTGAAACCATGCCTGTATATTAATTTTATTTATCAGAACATTTATGAGAGTTTCGGCCACATTACATAAACTATTTCATTTATATTTTGACAAAGATATTTTCTCATTATGTTTAGACGTTCAACCGTTCAAATGATATAATGAGAATTTCTACACAATTCTTCAACATCGCAACACTGACAACACTGATTCCCTCAGTGCAATCAGCTAATTGAGGGGCAAATATCATATGAAAAGTACCCAAACAGACTGTTTACATTAAACCACCAAAGCTAGTTTGATATTGGAACGTTTGACGTTATTGGATGAGATAGCACATATATACAGTAATTAGCACCATATCATTTATTAATTGCCATTGACAGTGGTCCCGACGAGGAGAGAATAGAATTTCCTCGAATAATACCAGACTACTAAACAATGTCTCGCAACGGGTTTCATTCATTCAATCCAGTGTTAAACATTGCTTACAAATATACATGGATCTAATTACACATTTGGGTAAATATGTGTGGTAAACATTCTGCTGTAACGAAGAGACAAACTACAATTGAATCCGCGAGTCAATAGATGTAACATGGTCATGCAATGCAATTATTTACCCGTGACAATCCAGTACAAGTTTGTTGTTCGCCATGTAGCACGATTTGGCAGTTTTGTATATCAGTCATTTATTTTCAAAATTTGAAGTTTAGTATAATTTTAACGCATTATAAATTGACGTTTGAATTATGTGAATTATTAAGGTTGATAAACGAGATTTCAGAACTAAATTAATGTTTCAAATGATAGATTAATGTTTAAAAGTGATGAAATATTATTATTTTGTTAACATTTCGTTTCAGAATAGTACGTCGGCTTTTCATCTATGACATTCGTTTTGTATATAATATTTCTCTGTATCTGATAAAATTTCACTAATTTCTGTTCATTACACATACATGTGCGCACAGAATCAATCATTTATAAAACCTTTATCCTCATAATCCCGTGAAAATAATATTCATGATGCATATCCATGCATAACGTGAATGCAATTACCAAATAAACAAACAAACAAAGACGATACATTCAAATGCATTCGATTGAAAATGTGTTCAATTTTCACAAACAATATATTCTATAAAACATCCCAAATTGAACTTTTACATATTTGATCCGATAATAAATGTGAAAAAATTATCAATAAAAACCGGTTAATATTTATGAATATAAATGCATATTACCATTATATTAATCAAGCATGCTCAAAGTAAGTGAATTAAAGGTATCAATGAAATTAATCACTTGAAACCATATGCAACACACATTCGCACAGATGTAATCTAAACACACAACTCCAATCAGTCAGAGGGAACGACGGACCAGTTGGAATCGATTTTTGATCGATATTACACTTTGTTTAATGATTGCGGGATACACGCGTGAGAACAAAGGTTATTGAATGGTTATATTAGCAACGAGGCATTGTTCGTTATTACAAGTTGACTACACGTGAAACATGTCCATTGAGTAATTGGCAATCTTTCGTAGATCACGGCTAAAAAACATTAACAAGATTAATGAATTAACGATAGACAGTGATGAAGGTTAGCGGGAATTAATTGTTTTCTATAACGCTAACACAAATGATTTGATCAGTTCAAACTAATCACACGTTTAATGTGAAACGAGTTGCAATGTCTTTAATGAAATATTTCAAATTAGGTTTTCCTGGGAAAAACTTCCAAACCACTGCCAAAGAGGAATAGGAAGAGCTGATTCACCCTTGCATTATTCGGAGGGGAGGGGTGTTTGATACTCATATATACCCTGTATTTGTGCGGGTAATTTGCTGGTCTACAATTTACCCATCATGCAAAGTAAGGAAAAGATAATAATGCAAGGGAACAACATAATATAATTTTCCAGTATTAAGTGTATGGTGGGTCATAATATTATGGAATTTATAATGTTCGATCCGTAACTGTATATTTATTTACATTTCTGATCGATATAGTTCAAGTCAGTGATTGAAGTAGCACTTTGCAATATATAAATATGAAATTATGAAATATGATTGATAGCAATAATACCTGTGTCGTCTTTTCTTCTTCTTCTTTTTTCCAGAAGGCTGAGAAAGATGGAGTGCCTCAAATGTTGACTGTTGAGGCAGTGCTTTTCTGTCGTCTACATCTGAAATCCAATGACATATTTCATTACCGAAAACCTCTCATATTGTGTTGGGAAATTAATGGTAAATGACACATTTACCATTGAGAAAGTTTGAAAAGTTTGAAAAAATAAAGCTGATTATTCAAACAGAAATTGGTTTATATATTTTACAGGGCGACGAAAGTCGAACATTACTTACCTGTTTTACCATATTCTCTATTATTGGCAGCCTGGAAAATGTTAAAGTTGAGAATAGTTTGTCCAGAAGTGGTCAGTGAGTCTATGAGGGGAGATCCCCAGGGTGGGTAGGGATAGCCCCCATGGTGGGCCTGCCGTGAGGGGGGTGCCCCCAGGGAGTAGATGGACGCCCGGGGGTCGGGTAGGTGGCTTGACTTGTGGGTCAGGCTCAACTCACTGGGAGACCCGGAGTTGGGTGTTCTCTCCTGGTTTTGTCTCAGACCCAGCAAATCACGGATAGAAAAAGCAGTCTTCTTTCTGGGTTCCATGAAAAAAGAAGCTGAAGTGGATAGGGAGGCAAAAGTCCTGTTGTCCAAAGGTCCGTGCTCGTGCAGACTGGTCATCAGAGTTTGATGGGCTCCGCACTTCATCGTCTGGTCTATCAACGTCAAGAGATAGACGGCATCCGCTCGAGCAGACGACACCGCGATTGTCCGTCACACGCGAAACACAACTCACTCAGACGGAGCAGAGCCACATATTTTATCCCACGGTGTGAAAACAAGAACGTCTCTGGACAGATAAAACGGCAAAAGTATCCGCCCCTCCAGATCGCGAATATTGAACACTGTGTCATTCACCGTAATCGCCAATTGTCGGAACCCTTTCAATACAGCCATTGGTTAAATTTCTCGGCTCAACGATTCTTCAATATTGATGATTAAGTAGCTAGGAGAAGTAGGTGGCACAGCTCCCCCTATCTCGCCTCAAATCAGGCAAATATTAGGCGTATGCGATTAGCAAGGTATCGCCAATAAAACAAGATGTGTTGGAATTGGCCGGGGTATGATTGATAGCAGTAAAACGGGCTTAGACGGCGTGGTGGTAATTGTAGGATATTGATGAAGTGTTCCTGACCAATCAGGGTGTAATGGCATGAACTAACTAGCCAGGAGACGCATTTGAGAGAGACAACCAGTCTAACAGAATGCAAGTTATACGCCGTCAGCAAAGAAGGTATTAAAGATGAGAGCTATTAAAATGTAGCGTTGTGTGCTTAACACAACGCCTCAAATAACGGAGAATATATCAGGTAATCCTGGGGAATGTTATAATTATTTCAGAGTGTCATAACTAACCGCAAATTCCGTGGTGATGTACAGAAATATCTTGAGAGTAAACGAGTTACAAAGTTTTCAAATCTCTCTGATACATTGAACAGATTTTGGAATACAATTTGAAACATTGTTTGAAGTGCAGAATAAAATTTGTATTGTATGTGAATTACAAATGGATTTATTTAAATACAATTTGTTTTTATCGGGGTAGTGTTGTGCGTCAGAAATTGCTCTACTGCAACTGTTAACGACCATGCGTGCAAACTAGCATATATTTTATTTGATAGTATTTACTTTCATAGAAGAACCATGTGGTTGCTCAAAATGATGTTTCCATGCTCTGTTAGACTAACATCTAGCCTCTGAAATGAAAATATTTTACAGAAAAAAACGTAAAATTATCTCAATACAAAACAAATAAAAAGGAGCCCAGTGACTCTTCAATTTTCATCTGCCTGAAACTGCAGTAATCTAGACTTGCCCATTATTATAGACTTGCATGGTCTGTATTGGATATATTTCTTTCAGGGTCTGTATGACAGACTAATGTTCTCTTAACTTCAACTGATTTATACAATGGCTTATACATGATCTTTATCACAATGAAATTAAAGTTGTAGAATTTGATTCAAATTCCGACTATTTCGTTGTGTGATAATTACTGCTAATTTAAAACAATTAATCGTAATCAATGGGCTTTCGTTGAAAATGGAAGATATTACTTTACTATTTCTGGGATTAAAGCGAAGGGTGTCAGATAACGCTGACGTCAAATCAACCCAAAATGTTTGAACCAATTTGGCTATTATAAATTTCGTAATCATTCCTCAACTATTGTAACCACCCCTCTACTATTTTTATTACTTTTTAACTTTCCCTTAGCTTCCTTGTACTGACACACGTCACAAATTCCACCCCCTCACTGGATCCAGCGGGCGGGGGTGGGGGTGGGGGGTCAGGTGATGATCCAAATACTGGATCCGCTTCTGCACTAATACATACAATAAACCCTAACCTACGATTCCGGGTTCGAGTTGGTCCCCAGCAACCCATGCATGTCCAATAAGGCTTCTGATGGATCGGGTGGTCACGCTTACTGAGTTGTTTGTATATCATCGTTTCCTGTCGGCATGGATCGTTGCTCATAATATTAATTAATGTTTAATTACAGGCTGCCATCATATAGTTAGACCTAGGTGTGTGAAGCGATAAAAAAACATATAAACAAACAAGCACAAAAATGACACCAGGTGTTCGCGAAACGGGTTCAATCAAAACAGTCACACACTCACGACGTAACCCTGATTAACAACTTTTGAACAAGATTCATAGGACGTATTTTGAAATCTTCGTAAAAATTGGTAGTTATCAACCTCATAACAACAAGACCGTCCCATCTACACAAGAACCAATCAACCCCGTGAAGTTCTGAGTGTTCAGCAATCCATGCTTGTCGTAGGCGACTAAATGGATCGGGTGGTCAGGCTCGCAAAATTGGTTGATGAATGCCATCGTCTCCCAATTGCGTAGATAGGTGCTCATGATATCAATCTCTGGATTGTCTCGTCCAAACTCGATTATTTTACTTACAGACTGCCGTCATATAATGTGACGTTAATCAACAAAACAACAAACAAACAAACATGGAACAACTGTGAATAAGTTTTTAGATTTAACTGACGTGACATGTATAACTCCTGAAGTTCGGATATTTCATAAGTCGGTTGTAGTCATATCCCGGGACACATTCCGGATTCAATTCCCATAATGTGTGATGCCTATATCTAATGTCTCCCTGCTATTGCTGGAATATTGCTAAAAGCCACTTGAAAATACACTCACTAACTATTCATATCCAATTTGCATATGATGTCACGAATTTGAAACTAAGGTTCCAACGCAGGTTAAAAACGTCAGCGTTGAAAGACGATTCCATGTTCTATTTATGTTACACTTAACCTAATTTATTATACAAGTGTGACACTTCTAAGACAGCGTTAAATAGGCGAGGTGAGGTGAAATTGGGTTTAACGTCGCGTCCAGGAATATTGCACTTATATAGCGACGTGTGTGTGTGTGTGTGTGTGTGTGTGTGTGTGTGTGTGTGTGTGTGTGTGTGTGTGTGTGTGCTTGTACTAGTGCGGACTGATGCCGATTTATAGTGCTAGCTCACTGAGATACCATGCCGCAGTTTAACATGAATATCCCATTCAGACACAGTATACTGACTCCGAGCCGACCTTGTTTTAGCCCCTTAAAGCCGAGCGCCAGACAGGGTAACAACAAGTACCATCTTTTAACGTCTTTAGGTATGACGCGTTCGGGGATCGAACCCCGGACCTTCCGCTCTACCACTAGGCCACGGAAGCGGTCTGTTAAATAGGGATCAAAGCACGAGCTACATTGGTAGCCCATGGCAATTCCTTCCTTTGTGTGAAAATATTCTATAATAATTACTTGCGCACATAGACGCGTGACTGATCAAATACATTCTATGTTAAAGTATTAGAGTTCCTCACGCCCATCGTTAAGAACGCTTTGTGCAACCGTCGTCAGAAACCATTCTGTGATGACAGAAGACGTATGTCAACATTATTAAACACTTTTACCCGAAAGTAACGCACAAAAAGCAAGACCTCTTCGTTAGGATTTCGAAAGACATTCTTCAAATGACAGTCTTCAAAGTTCAGCTAAGTTCATGAACCAGAGCACAAGTTGGTAGGTGACCTCCACCGCTATAATTTCTTGCTCCGATGACCCCCGGGGTTAAGTTGCTGCCAAGTCATCATTGGAGACGGCAGTCGACTGAAGTAGCCGGTTAACCCGGCTCCCGAAGCCGTAATGCGCAAACGAAGGCGCCAGAATTACCTATAATTAAATAAGCGGTGGCAATTTGACGAATTGTAAACAAGGAAATCCCAATCTAAATCCCATTCACTTCATTTTACACGATTTCGCAGATATTAAAATCGAATTTCATTTTCCAGGAAGACCCTATAATAACGAAGGCACATTACCTTCGAGCGACACGAAAGGCCCTCGCGTGCAAGTCCAATGGGTCTAATGTAGTTTCGGCGCTACGAGATGGTCGCCTTTGTTTACCTAATCACAGAGATATACTTTTTCGGATTCCTTGGCAATTGATTCGGAATATTTTTTTCCCTCAATTGCTGGCCAATGTAATTGATTTCAATGTCCCGTGGACTCTGCAGAGAAACTTTCAGCCCGAGTAGAAGACTTAAAAGGATTCCTTCTCATGTGCGGCGACTTTTTAATCAAGATTGCTGAACTCTTGTCAAAGGCTGGGATTGTTGCCCCTGCGATTGTGAAGCTTATCAACGTGCTTTGTGTGGCCATAGTCTGCGAGATGATATAATTAACGCTCTATGACGAGTGGCTTATTAAGCTCCAACACAAGCAAAGCACGTTAGATACAGATTTGCCATCAGCCCTCTGTCTAAGCTTGGCTGCATAACCAATTGACTGATTTTCTTGTTATTGAGTTGAGATGGCGACACTTAATATCATTTATGATGCAATTTTGGCTCAGAGGTGGTTCCATAAAAAATATTCACGCATGCTGAAATAGCTTTAAGCAGTGGGTACATTGATCGTTTAATTTTACTATTTCAGTAAGCCCGCGGTTCTTCTGGTTTCAACTTCATGAAATTGGATTGTGTATTCCCTTAGCATATCCCATGTTCACGAAACGCGACCCGTTCAAATTCCATTCTCCTCGTTGGTTAGTTACATAAAAACAATTTATGTTAAATTCTGACAGGGCTCCAGTTGTGATGTGCACAAGGAATCCTTTGACAATATTTAGGTGTTTCGGTTGTTTGTTGACTGGAATAGATCATACTGTATGATTATTGTCTGTTTTAGTATGGTTACATTGCTAGTTTATTTATTATTTGTATATATCAATAATGCTTTCATTCATCATAATCTGAATAATTGGTTCTCGACCCTGGTGTAGTGAGATTTTACGCACAGGAAAACGCGAGTACAATCGAGTCCGCATCATGAATGTGTCTTCTATAAACTTTCACATCTGTGTGTTTGAATGGGCATTATTTCCAGCAACGTTGTATTGTGCTTGATGGTGACCTGTATGTCCGATGCAGTTCCCTATTTTGATTAGTACCATATGTTCCCGTGGTTTGTTTTTCATGGAATACTTGCCTTGCCTTTGCGCGTTTTGATGACAGGATATGCTCACATTTTCTCAAACAAGTGGTATTATCGCTATTTTATAATGATTCAGGAAAACATTCTTCTGACATAGTCCCAGTTGTGTAGCGGATTTCTTATGATTATGGAAATGGATTCGTAGCTTTATTTATATTGACGCAATTCAGCTTTTATATTTATTTGTTGTATTCAGCAATATATGATAGTTCCAATCAATAGTCAATTATTGAGGCTACAAATGACATTCCGCAAATAAAAGCGACAATTTCTTTCCATATTCACAAGAATTCTCTGCTAATATACCGACAAAGCCCTTTCCATATTCACAAGAATTCTCTGCTAATATACCGACAAAGCCCTTTCCATATTCACAAGAATTCTCTGCTAATATACCGACTTTATCATGAGCAGGTGTTTATGAATCACTATCAAATAGTGATGCCACCAGGTGTTCGCGAAAAGTTGAGCGGCAAATCAATTGTTCATCGGAAAAAAACACGGGAATTGGTACAAGTCA